ATAAAACTTAGATTCCCTCTCATCCCTCTATTTTCAAAGTATAACATTCTACCAGATTGGATGCAGGGAGGATTTTCCCTGGTTAGGGAGTCTAGAACCAGCAACAGTTTCAGGATACAAGGTAGAACACGTAGGACTGAGATGAGGAAAGATTTCTTAACTCCACGCATAGTGAACTTGTGGAATTCTCGACCACAGATGACTGTGGAGTTCGAGTGACTGAATATATTTCAAGGTAGAGGCAGACTTTTAGATTCCAAAGGTAAGTGGCATGGGGAGAAAGCAGGCATATAGCATTGAAATAGATACTCTGCCATGATCACGTTGAATGGCGGAGCAAACTCGAAAGGCCAAATGAGCTACTTTTCCTCCTCGTTTCTATGTTTACTGAACGTCATGCTAGTGCCCACTCGGTTCCAACATTCCAATACCATCCAGCTGTTGCCAGACCTTTTTATTTAATCTCCCTTCGACCATCTGCCCTTGCTTGCACTCTGAGAATCCAAGCCTGTTGTCACCGAATCATTACTGCTTGGCGTACCTCATGTTTCTCCCGCTTTGCAGCCTTGTTGCCTTGTACCCAAGGCCATGAGTCTTCACCGAGGCTGCTTGATGAAGGAATTCCTCTGAGTAGAGAAATCTGGTCATCCTGCACTTGGTAGCTGCTTATAGAGTGACCAAGGCAGATACCAGGTAAGATTGGTTGCCTTTTCTAGTTAAGGATAGAGGATGGACCAAGAAAATGGAGGAAGTTCACTTGCAACGCAACACTGAAATGATCCGTGTTAGTTTGTTTTTCATTTGTGTAATGTTTATTAGAAGTATTAAAGGGGCTTATGAGGAAAGGTTGATCTGTGTCCATTGAAGTTTAAAAGAAAGAGGTGATCTTATTAAAACATGTAAGCTCCTGAGGGAATTGACAGTGTAAATCCCTGGAGGATGTTTCCTCCCAAGCAGCAGGTGAGAACATGAGGGCACAGGTTAAGAATAACAAGACTCTATTTTAAGGTGGAGACAAAGAAAGATTCTTTGCGGGTCCTTGGTGCGTGGAATTGTCTTCCCCAGAAAGTAGTGAAGGCTGGAAAAATGAATTTATTCCAGGCCAGATTAAATTTTTCATAGACCAGGGATTCAGGGTTCTAGATACAGACAGGAAAGTAGAATTGAGACCATAATCAAATCAGCGATGGTGTTATTGAATGGCAGAACAGATTTGAAGATCTGAATGTCCTACGCCTGCTTTCAGGTCCAATGTTCCTAGATTGCTTAGTCAAGTAGACTCCTCTTAGTCAGAAGATTGTAAATTCAAGCCTCATTCCAGAGACTTGCGCACGAAATTTCAGCTGTTACTCAGAGCTGCACTGAGGGACAGCTATACTGTCGAGAGAAGCTGCCTTTCAATGAAATGTTAACCCATGGCCCTATCTAGTTTGCTATTTAGTAAACATTCAATAGTTGATTAAAACGCAGGCATCACCAAATCAATGCTTGTTCTTTCCATCCTCCTCACCAGCCCAGAAGGGAGAAAGTTGACATTTTCACCATACTTAAGTATGCCTCTTCACATTTCACTCATGATGACAACCTGCATCTTTACGATGCCTCTAATGCTACAAAAACGTTCGAATGCCTCTCCCAGACATTTTAAAATTGTTTAATGGAGGACAGTTCAGAGTCAACCTCATTGCGAGTCTGGAGTCACATGTAGGCCGGACCAGGTAAGGTTTTTTGTTCACTTCCCTGACCATCTGAGCCGGATGGGTTTTTCCGACAATCGAAAACTGGTTAATGGTCACCATTCGACTCTTAATTCCAGATTTTTTTATTGAATTCAGATTCCACTATCTGCCATGGCAGGATTCAAGCCTGTGTCTCCAGAACATTACCTGGCTCTCTGAATTAATAGTCTAGCAAGAATATCACTGGGCCATCATTTGCTCCTGAAAATGGTGGCAGGATGTAATGACAAAGTCAGTTAGAATTTGAGACTAGGAAAGAATGTTTCTGAAGAAGGGTCTAGGCCTGAAACGTCAGGCTTCCTGCTCCTATGATGCTGCTTGGCCTGCTGTGTTCATCCAGCTCTACACCTTGTTATCTAAGAATGTTAAGTGTTCAGTTTGATGGGTATGAAGCCAAGGGAACAAGAGGTTAGTCAAAAGGTTGAGATGGACTGAACATCGGAATAATTGGGTCTAGGTTTTGGAAAGGATTGGCTTTGAAATTGGGTTTGTCAGTAAAAGGGGGAATCAGCTAAATGGATAATCTCTATGATGGTGCCAGACAATCCACAAGCAGTTGAAGAGGCGTACAGTGATAAGCCATTGGTTTCCTTTGTCCTTTAAGATGATCAGAGCGTAGTGGTTATTTTTGGTAAAGGAGAAAGAAAATTTGATGTGGCAGAATTACATCTGGTCGTCATAACTGAAACTTTGCAGTGAAGACCCTAATGATCAAACCGTTTGATGTCAGAGGATGTACCAGTCTTTTGTTGAAAATAAATTCAGGATTGGCAGGTCTCGTTTGACAGCTGTGTTGGAATGTTAACACTATTTTTCGTTGCCAGGAGTGTGTGTCCTAGATATACGATGAGGACCCAGTGTCGAGTTAAAGAACACATGACCGTTCATAGAGCTTTCCTACTGTCATAACCTCATATTGCCAGATAGCTATTCCTGCACATTTCCCAGGTATGATTCTTGGGAACACAATAGAATTCTGTATCAACAGCAGCTATTGTTCTGGTGCTTTTTGTCCTAAGCAGCCGTAGTTTTTAATAAGTCAAGCTAAACAAGAAGGTATAGTTCACTCTTCCAGTTGAGTGCAAGCTCAGTCCATCTCTAGCTTTTACTGGTTTAGCATTGATCTTGACAGTTATTTCTCCTTTTTTTCACTTTAGAAATTTCCTTTTGCATCTCATGTTGTGGCGAACAGATTGTTGCTTGTTAATCCCATAATGTGCAGTAGCTGTCTCTATGTTGGCTTTTAGCTGGGAGTTCTGCCTGATTTACAGTTCCTATTTAGAATTTTTGTTCAATGTTTGTACTTATTTAAGGAGAGGAATCTCAGTAGATTGCTGCTAGATGACGGATGTTTTTCAATTTCGGAACCTTATTTTGCTGTCCAGCTCTCCTCCATCAAGAATAAATTTGAGCAATAATGATTTTCCTATAATGCCTTTACAATTGACCTTAATACCACGAATTTGCTGCTGTGGCATTTTCTGCCGTCTCTGGGAAGTGTTCTGTACTGAATGCGGTTTTATGCTTGTGGCCAATGTCTGTTGGGAATTAATTTAGCTGAAGGACCATAATACCATCTCAAACCCATAGAACTAGCCCGAGCGCTACATGTTGAAACAGTACACCACAACATTTGTCTGTATAGATCCAGACATGACTGGCCGTGAACTATAGGTTTTCAGTCAGTTCCTACTCTGACTTTGGCATGATAGACTACTGCTATATTAAAAGGTGGACTTAGTCTAAGAACCAGTTATTCTCAAATGATGCAAAATATGGAGATTTGATTTTGCCCACATTCCAAACAAATACCAGATTCCTTTTAGATATGTATATGAAATGCTTAGGATGCAGGAGAGTGTGGAAGGTAGTAGGGAGATGCATAAGGAAACTAATTGAACTCCATTATTCAGCCCAGCGAGAGTCTGTTTTACTCTTATCATAATGGCAGGTTACATATGGTTACAAGATTTGTGCAGCACATTGATGTGGTATCTTTTAACAACCTCTTCCCAGCTTAAGTCACATACTAGGGTCATGAAAGATTGAAAGGACTGCGGATGCTGTAAATCAGTAACAAAAACAGAAATTGCTGGAAAAGCTCAGGAGGTCTGGCAGCATCTGCGGAGAGAAAGCAGTGTTAACGTTTTGGGTCAAGCGACCCTGCCTCAGAACGGAGGAAAATGATAACTCTGATTTCTCTGCACAGATGCTGCCAAACCTGCTGAGCTTTTCCAGCAATTTCTTTTTGTTCATGAAATGTGTTGACTGTTATAGCAGTAGTCTCACTATGAAAAGTCATTTTTAGATCATTACCCTTTGGTATCATGCAACACACTTGTGTGCCCTTAACTCATTGCCCAGTTTGTTTCCATTATGTGAGGGGCATCTAACCACGGATGTTTCAGTTTAGTATTAGTGTTTTTAAAAGTTAATCCTCACAATAAACTTTCAAACATTGTATGTCAGGTATGTCATTACTTATTAAGTAATGAGCAACAGTGTCAAAAACTAAAGCATCAACTAAAAAGCAACACATAAGATGAAAGCATGCCAATTTTAACCAGGAAACTCAAAACACGTTGCAATTCTAAACTTGGTACGGTTGATTGGGCAGTTATTTAAATCTCTAAGCGTTTTGTCCAGTTCTTTTTCATAATCGGTGTGATACCACTTGCATTTTCTATAGCATTACCTGGTACCCAATTATCATTCGACACTGATTTGCTTCTCCTTTTCTTTGATCCACACTTCCTAACTTTTCTAATTGATGCTGTTTCTCCAGCAAGTGCGTATACAGAACTTTCCAAGAGAACTTTTCTACCGGTTCTGTAACAGCAATAATTTGCTGTTAACTGACATTTTCTGCTTGAAGGGTCTTCTAATTCTGTTTTACTGTTGTAATATGTTATTAGCTTTCATTGCGTTTTATAGTTAATAAATTAATTATTCAATTATGTGTTCAGCCTTTTAACAGGTAAAAACTAAAAGTTAGCTTTACTACAACATCAAGACTAAATTATTGAAAAGCTCTGACTTGACACTACTCAAATTAAAGACAAAATAGGAAAGTCCTTTAACTTGCTGCTGACCTTGTTCCAAATCTCCACAGTCAAGTTCAGGGGAAAAAAAATCTCCCTAGGATCTTATTTCCCAGTTCCCCAAGGTAATCAGTAAAGGTGTTGAGGCTTAACTTTGCTTAGGCCAGATAATGCTGCTGAAAAAGATGAAGTGTCTGTTAATTTTCTTTTTGTATTCTAGGGCCTCGAACGTTGGAATGCTCCCCCTCAACTCCCACCATGAACTCCTATTTCTTCAAGTTTATGATCAACTTGCTGAAGCAGTTCAACAACGAGAAGAGACTGCTGGAAATACGAGGGCCTTTCATCATCCGGTAGGTCTGAATCCCTTACATTGTGTTTTAGCAATCTGGAGTCTGTTTGCCTCCACAACTGTCCTTCAGAAATTGTATATTTTGAACACAAGCATAAACGAGTCAATGATCTGTGGTAAGTGATTCATTTGCCTTCTTTATATTTTAGGGTGTCTTTAAGTTAATTTTGTCTTGAGATGATGAGAGATATAGAATCATAGAATCCCTACAGTGCAGAAAGAGACCATTTAGCCCATCGAGTACGCACCAACCCTCTGAGTATCCCACCCACCTCAACCCAGCATTTAGCGTGGCTAACCCACCTAGACTACACATCCCTGGGTACTTCAGGGCAATTTAGCATGGCCAATGCACTTAACCTGCACATTTTTGTACCGTGGGAGGAAACCGGAGCAACAGGAGGAAACCCACGCAGAAACGGAGAGAATGTGCAAACTCCACATAAACAGTAATCCAAGGCTAGAATTAAATCCAGATCCCAGGTGCTGTGAGGCAGCACTGCTAACCACTGAGCTACCTCATGTCCAGTCTTGACGAGAAATATGTCTAAACTCAATCCTGAATTTCCCTACTCTGCCACATGTCCTATTCTAATTGACTTTGAATCTTCTAATCTCAATTTCAGCATGTGGAATTGAAATGCTTTTGTATCTTTATCAAGGTGAGGGGTGGTGGTCACTTTAGGGAAAGGACCACCTTTGATCAGTGTCAAGCAAACTCATGTGAATTGTAGCGGAGTTTTATAGACTTCTACTTTAACACAAATGGCCTTTAATATTGCAGATTTGAGCAAAGACCATTCTTTGTGGATCACCGTAATGTGAGGACTCGGTATTGAGATTACTGAAGGTCACCTTCTGAGGTTGGCTTTTAGTGAGGTTTGACAGTGGGCAATGTAAATGGAGTTTTAGGGTGTTTGACTTGAACTGCACCTGATCTGACGGTATTTATGCTAATATGGTACATCAGAAGGGAAAATATCCTGATGTCCCTCCAGCAAAAATGTTCATTAAATGAGGCAGGATAACCACCATTAAATATGTGTACTCATTAACTTTTTCACTACTAGTAGCACATTTAACTGGTTAGTCTAGAAGTAAATAACACACTCATGCCCCATAGACTCCCTGTGGATTCGCACAGATTCATTTTCTCGTGTCCAAATCAACTGTGGAACATTATCTTCTGTTTAATCTGATATTGTACAGGATGTTGTTGAAAGTATTAGCATGGATTGGCAATTATTTGATGGAAAGGAAACAGTGTAGGAAGAATGGGTCTTTTTCCAGATGGCAAGCGGTGACTAGTGGGGGCACCACAAAGATCAGAGCTCAGGCCTCAGGTAGTCACAATATATCTCGATGTACAGCTTATGGGACCAAATGTACTATTTCCAAGTTCGCTAAAGACAGAACTGACAAGGTTCGTGAAGAGAATGCAAGGAGGCTCCATGATGATTTAGGCAAGTTGGAGGGAGTGGACAAATGTAGTGCAACAAGGCTAACATTTTGGTATGAAAAACAGAAGGCAGAGTTTTACCTAAATAGTGATGTATTGGAAAATATGAATGTAAAAAGGGATCTGGATATACTTATACACCAGTCAGTGAGATTAGACCGGTAGGTACAGTAAGCGATTTGGAACGCAAATGATATTTCAGCCTTCCTTGCAGAGGATTTGAGTTCAGCAGTGGGATATCTGACTATAATTATACAGGCCCTTGGGTGAGACCACAGCTGGAGTATTGGGTTGTAGGTTTGGTCTCCCTCAGTGGTAAGTATGTCCATTCTTGGGTGGAGAGTGCAGCGGAGATTCACTCGGCTGATACGCGGGATGGCAAGACCATCCCCTTAGAAGAGATTGGCTCTGCGTTCATATTCGCTAGAGTTTGGCAGGATGAGCGGGGATCTAATTGAAATGCATAAAATTCTGGCAGGCCTGGACAGACTAGTTACTGGGACGATATTTTCCTTCGTTAGGAAGTCAAAAGCCAGGGATCACAGTCTCAACATATAGGGTTGGTCAGTTAGAACTGAGATTTTGCATAAATGAAAGAGCTGGCACCGTCATGGAGTCTTTCAGTATCTCAGTATGTTCCACAGTGCTTCACATCCGTGAGGCAGTCAAATACCAGCTTTTGAGTGAACTTGCAGAATAATCAGTCACTTGCTTTACAAGACTAGCAGTTCAATGACTAATCTAGAGAATTTGGGTGCAGACTGAGTAAGAAACCGTCTCGAGATCTTGTGTTCTCCTCGTGAATGTTTGAAATGGCCCAGGGTCTCTGGTTTTAAAGAAGGTAGCCTTAGACCGTTAGTTAGAGCAGAATTAGGCTATTCAGCCCATTGAGTCTGCTCCACCATTCGATCATGGCTAATATCTCTTGCCTCCTCCCTGTAACCCTCCATCCTCTTACTAATCAAGAACCTTTCTATCTTTGACTTAATTACATTCAATGACTTGGCCTCCGCAGTCCTCTGCGGCAATGAGTTCCGCAGAGTCACCACCCTTTGGCTGAAGAAATTCCTCCTCATCTCAATAGCCTTGCATTAATTAATTTCATGACCTCGGGTATCCCAAACCACTTGGCTGCCAATGAAATACTGGGTTATGGTAACTGCTTTCATTTAGGATAGTGTTCAGAGCAAACTTTCACGAACAATGATGTAATGAAGACCACGTCATCTGTTTTAGCGATGTTGGCTGACTGATAGATATTATAGCATACTGGGTCATCATGTAAGCAGTGGATCTTTGGGTGTAAAAGATCCCATAAAATCACAATGAAGAGGGCAGCCAGGGTTTATCACCTCTCCTGAAGGATAGTACTGTGCTGAGGGAGTGTCAGACTGTGTTTTGTACTCAAGGCCATGCTTACCAGCACAATTGAGCTTACTGTTGTACACTGAGCCACCTTACCCTTCTTGCCCCACGGCTTGTAATGTTTCTGGTATCGAAAGGGAAGAGCACCAGTTCTCAGACAGCTATGCAGTTTCAGCTGCCATCCATGAAGCAGCTTGCTACGACTGTGATCAGCAGTAACGTGTAGTACTCCAGAACCACACATCTCAATCATTTGAATATGAATTTACCATGGAGGTCTGACTTGACTCGATATTATCCTCATTACTTGCGACACCTTGCACTTAACTAGACCAGAAGAACACCACCTTCGCACCCTGCACACCTTTGCCAAAGCAGATACTCAACATCTCTTCAGGTAGGGCCTTTACTTCTGTCCCAACTTCGATTGCATAGTTCTCATGATTAAAACATTTGACTCTTTCTCTCAAACCACACAATTAAAACTGGTTCCACACAGCTTTGCTGAAAAACAGTCTTACCCTGGTGTATTGTCTGCCTATCAGGCATTCGTGGTATTTATAGCACTAGGGAGGCTATTGTGCAGCCTGTTTCAAATTAGCTTCAAACATTTACATTCCTTTTCAGAGTAAAACCTGAACTCGCGTTTTACACAGACTGCAACTTTAGTGATTAGTGGACAAGATATGTCTTCATGAATTTGCTTATGTAAACGAGGCCCAGTGGGCAATGTTTGCTTCAACACGGCACAGCATTAACGAAGATGTGCTTTACATTTTCCCATTGATGAAACTCTGGAATGTTTAACTTGACCTGACCTTTAATTCTGCTTCGCAATGGACAGAAAATCATAGAGCAAAAAAAAGCCCATCAATTCTTTGGCATTTCGAATGGTTTCCTAAGAAACAAGTCGACAATTCCCATAGTACGTCTTAATTGTCTATCCATATTTGAAGTGTCAGCAAAGCATTTAGGACTTTTGCACTAACCCCATAGGATGAGATTTTGAAGCTGCTGAGCCCACTTTTGCTGTGAAAGATGACAGCAATTAATATCCTAACAGTATGAATAACTGCTGCAACTATCCAATCAGGTGGTTTCTCTATAATAGAGACCCCCCTCCGTTTTTAATTCAGAGAATATGCCAGCAATCATGTACATGGGAGAGCTCTATTTGCTCTGATGGATAAACCCAGTTTGTCAGAGTAGCCAGGTTGTCCATTTGCAGCTCAACTTGAATAAAAGTAGGATCTGTGGAGTCCTTTAGAAGGATGCTCAGGTTATGCTGAGTTAGTTGATCCTCAGGCATGGGTGCAATTGTGCGAAAATTCACCTGAAACATCCCTGACTACAGTCATACAGTCTTAGAGATGTACAGCATGGAAACAGACCCTTTGGTTCAGCCCATCCATGCCAACCAGATATCCAAAATTAACCTAGTCCTGTTAGCCAGTATTTGGCCCTTATCCCTCTAGACCTTTCCTATTCATTTACTCATCCAGATGCCTCTTAAATGTAATTGTACCAGCCTCCACCTCTTCCTCTGGCAGCTCATTCCATACACGCACCAAGCTCCGCATGAAAAAGTTGCCCCTCGGTCCTTTTTAGGTCTTTCCTCTCTCACCTTAAGTCTCTGCCCTCTAGTTTTGGACTCTGCTACCTTGGGGAAGAGACCTTGTCTATTCACTCTATCTATCCCCTTTATGATTTTAAAAACTTCTATAAGGTCACCTCTCAGCCGCTGGTGCTCTAGGGAAAATAGTCCCAGCCTATTCAGCCTCTCCCTATAGCTCAAAACCTCCAACCCTGGCAACATCCTCATAAATCTTTTCTGAACCCTTTCAAGTTTCGCAACATCCTTCCTATAGCAGGGAGACCAGAATTGAACGCAGTATTCCAATAGTGGCGTAACCAATGTCCTGTACAGCTGCAACATGACCTCCCAAATCCTATACTCAATGCACTGACTAATAAAGGCAAGCGTACCAAACACCACTTCACTAAGAGAAGAAAAACACCTTCCAGGTTCTTGCTCCTGATTATTCTTCACTGAGCCCTGCTGGAAAGTATGTTTGTGTGAGCCTTAGTCGAGGGTAACTTTGAGCTTGGCTGTAAACTCCACTGTGGTCATGTAACCTGCTACTGTCGGTTGGCTGTGAAGCATGGCTACTGGACTG